TAAATTTGAATAATAGTGGTATTAAATGGGCTTCCCTTTAGGTGCATGGATATTATCCTATCACAGACAGCGTTGTACCTCATGACTGATCTGGATATGTTTTTTGACAATGAATGCAACACCATCCCTCTTCAATTTGTCATTCCCGGTATAGTAAGCCATGTAGTTGTCAGATTCAAAATGGCCAATACCAGTCCATTTCAGCTCACTAATGCCTAAGATATCAATGTTTATGTGTTCCATTTCATTTTTGGCAACTGCCAATTTTCCCAGATTCATACTTTGTACATTCCATGTTCCGATTTTGAATGAATGTTTACAGCTGTTTCTCTTCATTTTGAGTTGTGTCCCATCAGCAGATGAAGGTCCCGTGGTCTTTTCTCCCACAGCCTTTACTCCATTCACGCCATCACGGTCAACTCTGCTTTGAGGAGGCAGCTCTTCCCTAGTTGCATTTTGAGTGCCTTTCAACCTGAGCGGTTCTTTTTTTGGGCACTATATCTGACTATATCTGACAGTGTTTCTCTGCTATTCATAGGATTTTCAGTGACTAAATATTTGGAAGTTGTTCATCACTCCTTCTTCCTAGTTTGTCTTCATCTGGAAGCTCATCTGAAACTTGTTGACCATGGGTGACCCTGCTGGTATTTAAAATACCAGTGGCATAGCTTTCAGAATCACAGCAACTCACAAGCTACCAAAGTACGACAAACTGACAAATGAGTGATGGAGTTCTAACTGTAGCTGGACATTAAAAATATCTTCTAGTCTACTTCACTAGTGTTTTGTGGACTTTGTCACTTACTAGGCTGTTTTACATTACTTGTAAGTCTGCTTGTAGGCTTGAGACATATGAAATACTAAATACATACTTCACCTCCAAAATGTACTTAAAAATTCCAAAATCTTGGCTATGAACTTAGCAAAGGAATTCCTCCACCTCTTATCATGTTTCCCACTAATTTCCAGAGACCTAATGCACTATAAAATATAAGTCAAGTTCTAGGCACCTAAGTTGAATTTCTTCTATTATTATTTCTACTGCATAATTGAAAAAGTTTAAGGGGAAGTGATAACTATCTAGAGGACACCATCAGAGTAAAATGCATTCTGGCAACTAATAAATGCTTGATCATTTCATATATATTAGATGTTAACTGTTGATACAATGTAAAAAATCATCTATTCATTTTGTAAAGTGTATAATTATTATAAACAATGATTTTTAATATTTGGTGATTTTTTGTTTTAATCTTAAATGATTAAGATTAAGAATCCATTATACCAACTCTAATAGAAGTATGAAATATGACATGTTCATAATCTTGGAGAAATTGCACTGCTAGCTCATTAGTTAAAGTAATATTTATAGATTATGTAAAAGTTTTTACTTGCATACTTAACCACCACAGCATACAGGCAGAAGAAAAAGAATTTCATGATGACAGCTGAAAAAAATTAGTCTGGATCATGAAAATTAAAATATTTATGAGTCATCCTGTTTAGAAGTAAATCAGTCAGTTCCCTATAATATGAGCATATAGGATTTGTGGAAAACTAAGGGAGTTCTTCCACTCAATGAGCAAAATTTAAATTATAAAGATTTTATTAATATTTGCTATACAAAACTATATGTGTATGAATATTTCCCTTGTCTTCAGGAAGTATTTTAGTGCACAACAGTGTTTTTTAATATGAAAGGCATCTAGAGACGCTATCATAACAAAAATCACATGCATCACATAGCATCCTTGGTTTAAGCTTCTTTCACCAGAATATTATATCATCTTTTCCAAGATTCACAATTTATGTTAATTTCTTAAATTATTTTAAAAATCCTAAAATAAAAAAGTCTAACTTTTCCACACAAAACTTTTCAAATTGTTTTGCTGTGACCACAGATTTGTTCATTGTTCAATCTTAGAGGGGTGTTGAGGGCAGGAGTGTTTGTGCATGTGTTCAATCTTTCCTTTTCTTGTGGAGGAGAGTAAGTTTGTGTGTGCATGCAGATTATCCATTAACATGGCACAGAACATTCTGTATAACAATTTATAAAGATGATACATTTATATACCTTGAAGGAGTCCTCGTGTTGTGCTGAGGGATAATGCACTGGACCACAAGGTCAGTGTGAACCACAATGTTGGTGATTCAAATTCATTAGCTGCTCCACTGAACCCTATACAGGGTCACTATGTGTCAGAACTGGCTTGAAGGCACTTAACAACAACATGCCTTAGAAGTCTAGAAAGTAACAACTGTCATAAAGCACATCTATTTCTGTACTCATACATTAGGAATAGCAGAATGGTACCAAATGTCAATATCATTAACAAATAAAATATGTAAGAAATAAAATGTCATACATGTAATCAAAGGAACTTCAATAAAGGAAGAGAAATGGGAAAGCATGTATATAACCAGATATTAAAATATTTATGTAATACAGTTGGGAATTTAAGAAAACGAATTCGAAGGAGAATACAAAAATCATTCACAACATAAAATGTGGTAAAAGAGAAGCTAAACTTCAAAATGCATAATTGAAAAGAAAGGAAATATATTTTCGCTATTGAAATACAGAATAATATAAACTGTTAGAAAGATGAATTTCCACAAAAAAAATGGATCACAATGTTAATAATTAAATAAAAGCAAAGAAATGAATCTGCCACATTCATATTGTCATTGTTGTTATTGTTAAGTGCTGTCAAGTTGGTTCCGACTCATAGTGACCCTGTATAGATTTTCCAAGTAGCAGCTGGTGAATCTGAACCACCGAACGGACCTTGAAATCCAGTGCATTAACCCAATTGTTCCTCACATTTTTTTTTTTAATGAAAGAAGAGAACTATCCAAAACCGTTCTCAAGATCACACTGGTTCACAGACTACTGTTTAAAGCTAGGGATTTTTAGAAATAATCATATTGTTGTTCACAAAATGGGGGGTTTCCCCTTCTTTCCCATCTCCTGTATGTTGGCATCACCACTGTTCTTAATAAAATCCTTAATGACAGAATCATACTGTCCAGATATTGTCATTAAAAAGGTGCCATTTATCTTGTAGTGTTTGTTGCCAAGAGCTGTTGTTGTTGCTAAGGGCTGTCAAGTCACTTAAACTCATAGATACCCTGTATAGGGTTCAAGGATTGGCTGGTGAATTTGAACCACCAAACTTGTGGTTTGCATATTCTATTATTACTCCCTGCTCAGCAGTATACCCACTAAAATAAAATGCTGCAATAGAATTAATGTCAAATTTTGATAAAAATAATAAAATTTAAATACTAGTTTGTGATGCATAGATTAGATTCACGTAAGCTGAAAATCATTTCTATAGAGACAAGTATCTTAGGTACTAAATTATCCCATATAGGAACCATAATGAGTATTGTAAATTAAATTATATTTTATTTTAAATATGACAGGCTTGAATAGTAATAGGATCTTTTCATATCACTCAAGTCAAATGCTTCATATAAAAATGCTTAAAGAAAGGTGTTCTGAGACTTTTTTGTCTTATCATGAATTCCAACAGCAGCTCAAGTGATTTCTATGGTCATCCTGGCTAACCTGAAGTGCAATTCCAATTTGCAATAGAATTGAGTGTAAGAGAAAAAAAATGTGCATTTAATAAGGTTACTAATATCACCAGTTACTGTCAAGTCCTACTCTTGGTAGTTGTTGTTGTTGTTTGGTGTTAAGTGCCTTCAAGTGGGTTCCATCTCATAGAAACCCTGCATAGAGCTTACAAGGAGCAACTGGTGAAGTTGAACTGTCAATCTTGCATTCAAACTGACCTTGTGGTCCAGTGCTTATCCCATAGCACCACAACACACTCTTGGTTGTTGTTTCTGTTAAGTGCCATCGAGTCAGTTCTGAGTCATAGCGACCCTGTATAGAGTTTCCCAGGAGTGACTGCTGGGTTTGACCCACTGGCCTTGTGGCTCAAACTGACCTTCTGGCCCAGCACATTCTCCTGCAGCATCACACCAAGAGAACCCCATAACATATGCTTCCAAAAGGAAAGATACTCAGAGGTTCCCTTTCCTACCCATTTTCCTCTTTAGCAAACACCCACAAAAACATACCCCTCCACTAATTACAATTATTAAAAAATTTTTGAACAAATAAGAGTTTGGGCTTTTAACAACTTTCATTAAAACATATGAAAATGTACATGTTTTAATGCAAGTTGCTATAAGTCCAATGTTCATTTTATTTAATACACATTAACTTTAACCTTGTTTAAAAAAAAAAAAAAAAAAAAAACTATTACAAAGCCAACGAATGAGTCATGAATTTGAGTATGTAAACATTGAACTGACAGTTCTCCACGGAGATGCCAACCATTAGTTCACTTACAGCAAGTTGATGGGGCTTCATCACCCCCATCACAGCTGTCCTGCCGAGCTTCACAGACTAATTCTTCAGCAACACATTGTCCATTAGCACAGATGAATTCATCCGCAGAGCAAAGCTTTCCGGAGTGCGTCTGTGCACAGGCATAGACCCAGAGGCTATCAAGAGCAATAAAACCTCTTTGGTTCAAAAGAGTTCCTTCAAAAATAATCTTCCAGGGACAAAAAGGAAACATTTTATAAGTGTGTAACAGTTTTAAAAAAGAAAAGAAAAGAATTATGACAGATAGCATTGAGACATTTTTTTTTTTTTTTTTAATTCTGGTTCCTTGAAAGAAAAACCAAATTCAGTTGAAATGTCAAGTATTCCTTGAGGCTCTAGAGACTTTACCTAGATTATACCTGATAAGCCTGACCCACATTTTCAAAAAAAGACTGATGGACACATTAGCTCCAACAAAACACTGAGAAACCATGTATGATCACATGACATATGGCATCAAATTAACCTACAATAGCTGAACTGCAAACATGCTCTGTGGTTTATCAGTTTTGTAACTCTCTTCAATTTTCAAGAAAAAGAATTAACATTATCTTTACTTGAAAAATATAAGAACTATAAATTCATTTGAGCATTTGTCTACTGAAACTAATATTTGAATGCATGATAGGAAAACTCAGGCAAATAGAATGGGGCACAATATAGAATTGATTCTTTAAAAAGAATAAATATTTTCGTAGCCCAGCAGCAACATGGCTGCGTCCGGTTCTGGAGACTCCCTAGATACCAAGAGTGGAAAGGCCCCGATGGCTCAGTGCATCGACCCAGCTCGGGAGAAATTGACTCCCGCGCAGCTGCAATTCATGCAGCAGGTGCAACTCGTTCAAAGGCAGAAGACGCTGCCACAGCGACGGACCCAGAACATCGTGACTGGCCTGGGCATCGGAGCCCTCGTACTTGGTATTTATGGTTACACCTTCTACTCAGTATCCCAAAAGCGTTTCCTAGATGAGCTAGAGGACGAGGCCAAAGCTGCCCGAGCCCGAGCCCTGGCTAGAGCGTCAGGCCCCTGATACTGATGGCTACCACGCAATTCCAACCTCCAGGGGTCCCTTTACAAGATGGATGATACTCCATGATCCTGTAGAAAATGAAGCCTGCTCACAATTTTGCTGGCCTTACTAACTTCATACCATAACTGAACTCAAGAAGCCAGGAAATTATGTGTTCGGTCATCGTAAAAGGAACATTGTGCACCTCATACTCATTGGGTGCAGTGACCAAGCCCTTCTTGTAGTCTGTTTCCTTGTTTTACAAGTGTGCAACCCTGGTTTTTCCTAACAGCTCTGACTGGTTTACCCTCTTCACACCTAGGGGGTGAGAGATGGCAGCGCCTAGCAATGTTGGAGCCTGAGGTGGGAATGTTGAGCCATGTTGAGAACAATAAACTGACTCACTCTCCTGGAAAAAAAAAGAATAAATGTTTTAAGATTTAATAAAACGGTCTAAAAAAATAATTTCTCTAATCAAGAAGGACCAATTAAAGTAAAGAAATCCCATTTTCTCCAATTAAGTTGCTAGCTTCTTTGAAGGTGTACAGTAATGAAGAGCTAAAACTGCTAAATCAAACATGAAATAATGTCAAAGTATTAATATTCATTTAATACTAATACTTTCTCTAATCAAGAAGGACCAATGAAAGAAATCCCATTTTCTCCAATTAAGTTTCTAGCTTCTTTGAAGGTGTACAGTAAAGAAGAGCTAAAACTGCTAAATCAAACATGAAATAATGTCAAAGTATTAGTATTCCTTGAGGCTCTACCAAGAGCAATGGTTAATGAGCACCATCGGTGAAGTAGTAGTACAAATAGCTGAATGTAGAGCAAATAGCTAATTCCCTCTTGTTCAATATGGTAGCCACTGTTCACATAGGGATGAAATAACTTAAAGTAAAATTAAAATTCCTCAGTCATATTAGTCAAATTTGAGTACCTCATATGGTACTATTTCCATTATTTTAGAAAGTTCCATTGAA